TCTCTCTCTCTCTCTCTCACTCCCAACTGAAACAGCATCAGCAATCATAATGGCATTTAACAAAAAAAAAGGCACTTGGAGAGATATTTCTCTTCAATCCACACATACTAGGTTAGATGGAGAAGAAATGCTATTATTGGGAACAACGTTGACATAGGGATTCTACAGGTTTGAAGGTTGAATGAGATAATGTATATTTTGAATTGTCTACAGAGATTCTCAGACATCCAGGTCATGGTTGTCCCAAAGATGCTTTTTCAAGAGGCAACTGAATGTTTTAGTTTTTCTTTGAAGATGTTTTGCTTCTCATCCCAGAAGCTTCTTCGGCCCTGAAGAAGAGCTGAAGCAGCTTTTTGGATGAAAAGCAAAATGTCTTCAAAGAAAAGCAGAAAGTCTAGTTGCCTCTTGAAAAAGCACCTTTGGGACAACATTCCGAATGATCCTGGCTAAGCAATACCTGTTGTTGTTGGAGGGTGGATAAGATGGAAGAACAAATCATATTTTACTGGCAATTAAATACCACCTTCCCAAATCCAGGGAAGCACACAGAATTTCACCAGCGGCCTCTGGTTTCCCCATACCTGTATATGCCAACCACCACAGCATGATCTCGCTCATATGGCTCCAAAGTCAGTTGTTCCTGGGGTTTCATGTTTTCCTGCTGCATTTTTTTTACTTCTGATGCAAAAACTGCTTCAGGGGCCGCTGTTGAATCAATACAGTTGGCCTGGAAGACAGGGGAATGGATAAGCACACCAAATCCTCAACTCCAACTAGATTAGGGGACACTTTACCACTCCCATCAAATATTGGGATACAAAGCAGGGATCACTAACAACAATCATACTATAAGATTTCCCGATATTGGCCCAAGATCCTACAGCCAGAAAATAAAACTTAAATCAAGATGAAAGCCTTACTTTGATGGAGATAACAAAATGACCACCATTCTTCAAAAAGTTGTGTGCATTTAAGGCAACAATACGTGACTGATCAGGCTGAGCTACATCTGCGAAAATGACATCCACCATGCCTGCAAAGAGAACACATATATCAGAACGTCTGCAGGCTACATGCAAAGCCTTTAATTTATAGCTTATGTTACAATTAGTATGTAATCATATACCTAACTATTAATCTAGCTTAGTATTTCTCAACTTTGGCAACTTTACATTGTGTGAACTTCAACTGTCAGAATTCCCAAAGCAGCATGCCACTGAGGGTTAGAAGAACTGACCTTATTACAACGCCCACCCAGATTGGGGAAGTTGTAAGTCAACTTTGTAAAGTGTAGGCAGTTAAGCAAAATGGACGCCAACAATGAAGATACAGAATTTTACGTATCTGCAAAACACAGCTTGGGCACTGAACATCCTGGAAGATTTTGTTCTGGGAAAAACAGGTCTTGAAGATTCCTACTGATTTCTTATATTCTTAAAATTCTGCTATTCCTTTGTTCAAAGCGTAGGATAGAGCACAGGTGGGCAACTAAAGCAATTTTATGACGTGGATTTCAACTCCCAGAATGATAGCTCGGAAATTCTGTGAGATGAAATCCACAGGTCATAGGGTTTCTATAGTTGCTCTACACCCACCTCCACCCCAAAACCCGGAATAGAAGAAGAAAGGACATCCTGGTCAGTGTCTCTTCACACTTCTACCATCGGGCAGAAGACATCAAAGCATAGCCAGCCAAACAAATAGATTTAAAAATATTTTGTATCCTTGGGCTGTCAAGACTTTTAAACTCAATCACAATC